AGTCTGTTCCCAGTGTGTGCATGCGCAGAGCTGCCAGAAGGCAAAAACAGTTAAGACAAAAGGAACAACTTAAGAATAAGGCTTGGAGATGATTGGCCCCTCCCATAAGACATAAAGGAGGTGCAAAGGCTTGTGAGCATTTGCAGGAAGCAATTTTGTTTGTTCTGGTCAGTTTAAATTCTGTTTAAATTTAAGTTCTGTTTTCACTCTGTGCACTGTGTTGCCTTGCAAAGCTAATTGCCAATTACATGTTTAGCAGTGTTTCAAAGGAGATAAAGGTGGGTGCTTATCAGCCTTATCCTGAAAGACTTTGGCAGACTTCTGTCAGACTCTTTACAAACTATTTGTGACTCATTACAGGCTGTGAATAAACATAATTCACAGCCATTGAAATAAAAAGAGGGTTTTGGGGACTAAGCATGTGCTTTTTACTTTCTCAGGAAGCCTAGGTCAGAAAAATCTGCCAGGAAGTATGCCTGATTTAATTCCACAATAACTGAGAGATGATTATGGGAGACTATAAATGCTTTCTCTTTTCCTTTAAAAAATACTAATCTAAAATATGACATAACACCAGCACTCACAAACAATCAAAATTGAACAGACTCAGAAATAACCAGATTATGATCTGGAACAGGGATGTACAACCTGAACACCTTGATGTAGTTCTCAAAGTCTCTTCAGACATTTGCATCAAATTGTGTTCTCTAATGTAGTAGAATTGAAATTCATTGCAGATATTCCTTGAGTTATGACCACAATTGAGCCCAAAATTTATGTTGCTAAGTGAAACATTTATCAAGTGAGTTTGCCTCACTCACTTGTATGCAAAACATTTACTCTGTGTCTGATCTTTCAAAAGTCCAGCTACAAAATATGGGCAAAACATAATATCTTGGACCTTAAAGGAAACCTATTTTACTCCTTGATCCTTCATTCATCTTATTGTTATCATTTCTTTAGTGCAGTTAATAAAACAAATGTAACAGTTTTGTAAAAGAATGAGGTTTCTACTACCAATAAGACACCACTTTGATGGGAGTATATCTCTGCCACAGGCATGCAAACCATTTATATTTTCTTCTCTTTAGGACATTTAGTTAATGCCAGCTCAGATCTGATGAAGTTGGATGATGATGATGATGCACAACTAACGGAACCATACCTTTCCAAACAGAAGAAACTTATGGTGAGACAAGCACAAAAAGGGTTTTATTATTAGATATGGAAACACTATAGAGGTATGGGATGGATACAGATATTGACTTCAGTCTAATTTCCACTAACCATTGGGCATTTCCCACGAACTTCCCATTCTCACTCAGAGAGATTCCAAGAAGGTGGATGGTGCTCCAAGGCTGTGAAAAAGGCAGTGGGATACATGAGATAAACAATGGTCCCCTGGGGCGAACTTAAAATTGAGCAGGTAGCCAGACTGTCTATTGATTCATCTGCAATAGACAAAACTCATCACATTTAATTAAGAATCTGTACTAGAATGAATTGATGTAATGATTATGAATAATTTGTATGTGGCTCTCACTACTTTTCCTGCATTAATAATATATAATTGAATTAATTAATGTAGCAGACATCATCTATTCATACTTTAGCACCCCCGTTTCTTTTATCTTTTAACTTTCACATCACTTCCCCTTAGTAGAAAACAATGTTCCTACCTTGACTGATCTGAAAAAGAACTAAGATAAATACAGGGGGCCTCAACGTATGACCAAAATTTAGCCCAAAATTTATGTTGTTAAGTGAGATAATTGTTAAGTGAGTTTTGCCCTAGTTTATGACCTTTTCTTGCCACAGTTATTAAGTGAATCACTGCAGTTTTAAGTTATTAAGAATGTTAAGTGAATCTGGTTTCTCCATTGACTTTGCTTGTTAGAAGGTTGCAAAAGGTGAACATCATAAATATGAATCAATTGCCAAGCATCTGAATTTTGACCACATGACTATGAGGATGCTGCAAAAGTCATAGGTGTGAAAAACAGTCATGTCACTTTGAATGGTCACTAAATGAACTAGTGTAACTCAAGGACTACTTTAAAAAAGGGATAGTGGTTGAATGCCAAGGCAACAATGGCTTCTGCATTATTAAAAATTGTTTTTGAAAAAGAAAAGTGATAGAATGGAAGAAGTGGCTATGTTAAAATTGTTATAGGGGTATTGGTCTTTTATATTTTTCTACTTGATATTCTCTCTATGTATATATTCATCCTATACTGACAAATATTGTGAGCAATGATAATTTTTTAAAAAAATTAAAAATCCATGCATTCATATATGGGAGAAACTGTTTCAGAAATACTCTCTGGACTTCAGTGCAGTTGCTGGAAGAAAGCAAAACATCAGCATAAACCAAAAATGAGATTTGAGCCACGGTGGCGCAGTGGTCAGAATGCAGTACTGCAGGCTACTTCTGCTGACTGCCAGCTGCCTTCAATTTGCCAGTTCAAATCTCACCAGGTTCAAGGTTGACTCAGCCTTCCATCCTTCCAAGGTGGGTAAAATGAGAACCCAGATTGTTGGGGGCAATACACTGACTCTGTAAACCGCTTAGAGAGGGCTATAAAGCACTGTGAAGCGGTATATACTGTAAGTCTCAGTGCTATTGCTATCCTGTCTTTGGGAGGAAAGCACTTTTCTATTTGAGTCTCCCAATCTAGTAAGAAGCTGACGCTTCATTGTATTCCTAGCCTTCCAGACCACAGATTACAAACTGCTATAGAGAGTGCAAGAATCAGCAGGCTAAGGCTGCTTTCATTGTTGGATAATTTGTAAACCCAACCAGCTGCATCTCTTTCTATTAAAGCTATTTTAATAACAGATTTCCTTTTTAAAAAAATAAATCTCCTACATCCAATTGGATATTCATTACTGTGCAAGCTATTTTTTTAAATATTTTTTTGTAGTAAGGCCTTTGTTATTTTCATTTAGGCCAAAATTCTGGAGCACGACAATGTGAACTATCTGAAGAAAATCCTGGGAGATCTGGGAATGGTGCTAGATCAAATTGAAGCTGAACTGGAGAAGAGAAAAATTGAATATCAAGGTATGCATTATGTTCATTTGAACATTATTTCCTAGATTCTCTCTGGTGACTTGTAGAAGTTTCTGATACTTGTTTAACTTTTTCATCTACTAGCTGATAGCCTGGCGTTGCCCGGGTATTTATTTACAGGGAGAAAATGCCCAGACCAAACATTTCTAATGTTGGATTTTCCCCCTTATCAGAGGACACCCCCGTGCGGAATACTGTGAAGCCGCAATTCCGCTGCGCTGTACAATAGAAGCCACTTTATGGTAGCACAGTAGATCCATTTTAAGGCACAACAGGCTGTATCTTAACAAAACACACACTCCAAGGAGTGTTAGGGGTGTCTTACCGCCACAGAATTTGTTTCCAGAGACTAAGTCATCTGTGTACTAAAGTTTGGTTGAAATTGCTCAAGGTGTTCCAAAGTTATGATGGACACACACAGCCATACATATATATGCACACAGTAATATAGATCACAGGGATCTATTGTGTAATAACCTTTTATATATTTTAATTGCACAAAATATACAATTAACTAAGACATGCACACTTGTGCTAATATAATTATCAACTGATCAATTTATCAATCTTCTTAAAATGAGATTTCACTGGAGACATAAAATGATATTTAACTGGGACATTATTCTAGGTGTGGTCTGAACAATGAGCAATGTCGCATAGAGAAAGAGATATAATATATTTTAATCTTTATTTATGAAATTTATTTGCTTCCATCCAGTATCCAACAAATCTAATCTTGACTTTTTGCTTTTCTTAAGGTACACTAGGATTTTTCCCCCCAAAATACATCACACATTGTTTAGTTCCTGTTAAAATTAAAGAAATTCTATTCAACATTTCACTTTGTCAAAATCCTTCTGTACCTTGATAATATCCTCCCAAGTGTTTGTTATTCTAATTAGCACAATTTCTAATCATGTTATCTGCAAATTTATATTATTTTCTATCACTTTTTCCAAGTCATTTATACATTTGCTGAACTGTACAGAGGCTAGAACGGAGCCCTATGTCATTCATCATCTCTTTTCCATTTTATGCAAAGCTACTGAATTGTTTCACCAGCTCTATATCCACAGTGGAATAGTCAGGCCCACGTTTTGCTATACTAGCTATTAGAATCTCCTGGGAAACTTTGTCAGATGCTTTGCTTGGAACACCGTGTCCTCTAAATTGGTCAATCAAATTAATTTGGCATGACTTGTTCTTAGTAAAATCATTTTGAGTACTGCCAAGCAATTCATTCTTTTCTAAATTATTCTAAACCAAGTACTTAAAAATCTGTTACAGAATTTAGCCTGGTGTTAACATCAAGTTGCCCAGGTCTTCTTTTCATCCTTTTTGAACATAGCATATGAAGGATATCTGCCAACTATTTTGTTGAAGGGATCTGGGCAACAAAATTGGAACATTAGGTTTAGAAGGTGTCTTATAAAAGCTAATTATTTTAGGAAGGGCCCACAATGTCTATGAGATCTCTGTGCATTTTTAGCAGACTGTTTGCTTTCCAGCTAATCTGTTTTATCATCATCATTTTAGTTATTGTCGATCCACTGCAGGATGAAGGCCTCTTCCATGTTTCCAATCAATACAGTCCTGAGCTTTCTTTTGCCAATCGGGTCTGCAATACTTGCTGATGTCATCAACTCTTCTTGTTTTAGGTCTCTTTTGTAGATGCTTTTTATCAACTGGGTTCCATTGGTCCAACTGCCATCAGTTCTTCTTGTTATGCGACTAGCCCACTTCCATTTTTTTACTCTCTTGATATTGTATACTTTTGTTTGTTCTCTAATCCATCTGCAGGTCTTTCTATCTTGTCTTTTAATGGTGAGCATGTATCTTTCTATGACACTTTGTGCCACTCTTAGCTTTTGTATAGATTATGAATTTAGTGTCCATGTTTCACTGGCATGTGTTGGAGCAGATAGCATACACTGATTGAAAACTTTTCTCTTCAGGCATAGGGGGAGGTTGTTCTTGAAAAGTATGCTTAGCTTGCCAATTGCCTGCCAATCACATTTAACATGCCTTTCAATTTCCTTTATTGTACCACCTTCCATTAAGATCCGTTGGTCAAGGTATATGTAGTGGTCTACTACATTTAGTTCTTCTCCATATATACACATTTTTCTTTCTTTGGTGAATTTATTAAACATAACCTGATTCTTTTTCAGGTTTGCTTTTAAGCCAAATGGTTCTTCTGCTTTGTGCAGCTCTTGTATATGTCTTTGTAGCTCTTCTGGGTCTTGTGCGAAGAGAACAGCATCATCTGCAAATCTTAAAGTGATTTAAATAGGCGCCATTGATTTTATTCCATATTTTGCCCAATCTAGTTTGTAAAATCTCAGTTTTAAATCATTCCAAAATCCTAGGGTTTGGTTAAGGAGTGCCTTGGGTCAAGTTCTATTCCTAGTGACTGCATACTTGCAGTTTTCTTAGAAGTGTTATGGATGATATCCCCTTCCTGAATGGTCTTTTATTTTCCTGATACTTGTCCATCTCCAAGACCTAACTAGGATACATCCTGCTGAGATAACCATGGTCATCTAGAGCTACCATCTGTGATCTAATAATCCCTAATTTGCCCACAAATAACTGGAGTTCTCTGAAAATAAAAAGCCCAAAATGGTGCACGGAATAAATTAAGCAAAGGAGAGTGGTTTTTCTAGTCTACTTCCCCCCCCCCACCAAATGATTTCTGCTAAAAGTCAAAGGTTCTCTTTATGAACTAGGGAGAACACCTGGATACTTCTTTCATTTGGGAATTTGCAGATCTTTGTAAACCTCTGAACAAAATATTCATTTGATCATCTAGATTTTCATCTCATAGCATCCTACCTGACTGCATTTTCTTTCTCTCCACTGAAATCAACAGTCCAGTAACTCAAAATATTAGTGTTTGGGATTTTATCTTAACTGATCAAGTAAAACTGATCAGTTTTACATGAAAAATGCTGATCCAGACAATCCTTTTTTAAAAACCCAATCACACTTTGAATGATCTCCTTCTATTCTCTTCCCCAGTGGAAAAAAAAATCAGCACGAATCACTACTCATACAGCAGAGAACTGGTGCCCTTGAGGTTTTTAGCAGCCTTCTAGAAAAAGGAAGTGGCTCCTTATGGTTGTCCTTTCTTCTCTACTGAAATACAGTATGGCATTTCTAATTTCTGCACCTGTCAGTGCTGATGGGCAGAAAGGAAATCTGTGTAATTTTAAAAGTCATCAGAGTCTGTAGAGCTCAAACTGCTTCTACTTCTTTCACAGCGAGATGCCTGCCAGCTGCAGGTCCAAGTGTCAACCACTATAATGAGAGGCAACCAACTAACTATTATTATGGACATGGTATGATGTAAGAGGTAGAGAAAGAGGGACAAAATCATGTTCTGAAAAGTTAGTTTAGAATAGAATAGAACATTTTACACACTTGTAAATAAAATAGCTTCCTTGGCAGCATACATTAATTATTATGACTGAGAGCTGTTGATTTTTAACTATAGACCAGATTGCACCTGCTACAGATCTGTGGAAATTCAGAAAAGACATGGAAGAGATGGAGAGATGTCTAGTTTCTAACTAACATCATGCCCTAGAGGCAGGTGTTCCCAAAGTATGGTTCAATATTTTAAATAATGTAGTAAATCCTTATCTTTCATCCAGGGAAATAAAATTATTTAGATAACATATAAATACCAAGGATTATTTCAATATTTTTGGTTCCTCTGAATATTAGTGTTTACTGTATATTATTAAAATCCAAAGAATAAAAGAACAAGTCTAAAGTCAAATTCAAACTACTCACAATCAGAATAAAAACCAGGGCAAAAAGGTGAATTAAATGCCAGTTTAATCCAGATCAGTTAAGCTGAAGTTTTCAAGACTTGAATATTGAATATATTTTCATGGTACACAGTGCCTTGTGTATTGAATTAATCCAGTGGTGAAATTCATTTTTTTTACTACTGGTTCTGTGGGCATGGCTTGGTGGGTGTGGTGTGGCTTGGTGGGTGTAGTTTGGTGGGCAGGGGAAGGATACTGCAAAATCTCCATTCCCACCCCACTCTGGGGCCAGCCAGAGGTGGCATTTCCCAGTTCTCCAAACTACTCAAAATTTCCGCTACCGGTTCTCCAGAACCTGTCAGAACCTGCTGGATTTCACCCCTGAATTAATCCATTTGAGGGTTGCAAACAAACTAAAATATAAAGTCACCAAACAGGTTGGCTAAACCACAAAAAGAGTTTCATGTTAATCAAACTGAGCATGTTGGCTGAATGCACCTGCTTCATCTGATTAAGCATTCTTTTAATGCTTAATGCTTAATTTCTTCAGGCATTTACTGTGAATGCTTAAAACTGATCATGAATAGGGTTGAGCAGCTGGAAATTAATTTGGAGAACCATAATTGGTTAATAAAAATGAAATAGCAAGTGTTAAGGGTTTGTTATGATTATTCCTCTTTTATTGTCCTTCAATCCATAATGCTCCAGCTATCATTGACTACCATAAAGATGTTCAAGGCAGATGGTTTCATGGTTTTTAAAGACTACCAATGGTGCAGCTGTAGACTGCTTAATTATATGCATGGTTGGAAGTACAGATATCACTTAGTGACCATGCAAAGTTTCGACACTGAAAAAGTGACTTATGACCATTTTTTCACACCTTACAACCATTGCAGCATCCTTATGGTCACATGATCAAAATTCATCTGCTTGGCAACTGGCTCATATTTATGATGCTTGCATTGTCCCGGAATCTTTTGATCACCTTTTGTGAGCTTTTGACAAGCAAAATCAGAGGGAAGCTGGGTTCACTTAACAACCATGTCACTAACTTAACAACTACAGTGATTAACTTAACAAGTGTGCGAAGTACAGTCATATAGTGGGGCAAAATTCACTTAACACCTTTCTCCCTTAGCAACAGAAAGTTTGAGCTAATTTGTGGTTATAAGTTGAGGACTAGCTGTAAGAGAAGCTGAGCAGCTGGAAAGGGAAAAAATGCTTTATCATATCTTTTTCTAGAGAGCGGCTTGTACTGAGCTTAAAGTGAGGGAAGATCATGCTCTGTCATCTTGAACTCCTACATATCCTCCTGAGAAATTAGGAAGCAAGCCACCCAAATTTGACAGCTTAAATTTTCCAGGTTTTCAGAATGAAATAAGAATGAACATAGCCTGTAAAGACTTTAAATGTCTTAATGATCTGATTTTACTTTTCAAAAAAGGAAAAAAAAGATACTAAAGTGTCTGTAGGGGGAATAAAAAAATCAAGATGGCCGCTATGACCACGTCCTCAAAGTCCTACTTTCTTTCTACATATGTTGTAAAAGTCAGGGCTTGGAGCATATGATCACCCAAACCACACCTGCAATTTCTGCAATTAATTAAATTTGGCAGTTCTCTTTGGTAACATCACTGTGTCAGCCCCTTCCCATTCTAGTAAAAAGACAGAATATAAATATGACAGCAACCATTTCCCCTTTGTTCATTAACATTTCTGAAACTGAAGAACTGACAATGATTAAAATGCATAATTATAGCAATAGCAGTAGACTTATATACCGCTTCATAGGCCTTTCAGGCCTCTCTAAGCGGTTTACAGAGAGTCAGCATATTGCCCCCAACAATCTGGGTCCTCATTTTACCCACCTCGGAAGGATGGAAGGCTGAGTCAACCCTGAGCCGGTGAGATTTGAACCGCTGACCTGCTTTGGGGTAGCACTAACATTAAGTAGATAATTACAAAAGCTTCTGATTTTAATGTCCTTTAAAAGGTAGCAAATTGTTAGTTAATTAATATATGGAGCTTAAATTACCAGGGATAGAGGAGAATGTTTATAGCATTTTCTATCCTAGCTATTAAAATAATCTGTTTGCAGCCAAGTGCTCTTCAAGCAGCAAAATATATCCCACAATCATGCTTGGCTCATCCCCCCTCCCAACTTAGATGCAAAAAGGAGGGATATAATTCATGAACTATTGAATCAGATAGTTGCCAGAGATCTATTACTAGAAGACAGTTTAATTGGTCCCCATCAAAAGCCAAAGAAGTAAGGGTCAATTGCAGCATTTTGGTTTATGTCTTCCAATGCAACATAATTATTGTAGCTTCATTCTCCAGGGCAGAAATGTGAACTCTGGCTTTGTGGATGTGCATTCACCTTGGCTGATGTTTTGCTGGGAGCCACGTTACACCGCCTCAAGTTCCTAGGACTCTCAAAGAAATACTGGGAAGATGGCAGCAGACCCAACCTACAGAACTTTTTTGAAAGGATACAAAAACGTTTTGCTTTCAGGAAAGTCTTGGGGGACATCCATACTACTCTCCTCTCAGCAGTGGTACCCAATGCATTCAGGCTGGTCAAACGGAAACCTCCATCCTTTTTGGGGGCCTCTTTCCTCATGGGATCTCTAGGGGGGATGGGATATTTTGCTTATTGGTATCTAAAGAAAAAATATATCTAGTGCCGGCTGTTTTGATGTTTAGTTTGATGTCTCTGTGCTGTGTGAAACTATGATGAATCTTCAGTAACTATAATGAAATTTGAAACCAATATGAATAACTATACTGTTAATGTAACATTCCATAGTCTAGAAGTAGGAAACCTATACTGCAAGGACGCAAGTCAACAAAAATATTCAACTTTTTGTAGGTGTCAGTATTATAAATCTATAAATTGTGGGGTATGTTTATATACCCACTGTGGAACAAAACAGCCTTTTAGCAGTCAAACACCCCAGGAAACAACTAGCAAATGAATTACAAAACTGAGAGATGGGATTCTGTGGCGCTTCTAAATTTTTCCACAGGTTTTTCAATCACATAGCACATTATTTCCCTTACAGATGCAAATAACAAGGACTTTTCTATAAGCTGTTTTTGTGTTGTGCTTAAAAAAGGATTAAAAAACAAATAGAACAGATGCAGTGAGTTGAATCACAATAGTTTGTGAAGTTTTAGCATAAAATGATGAGTTTTTTTCTTTGTATTTTTGTTTGGATCAAGGTTTTTTAAATTAACTTGAATTTAACTAGAATTCTCTTGATTTTTTTAATTTTTAATTATGTCTTTTAGTTTTCTCTGATTGCAGCACTTAATTTCATAGATGAAATTCTGATTCATCAAGGAGTTTGTCTCCAGCTTGTTTCCATGAATTTGCCAAGTGTCTTTCACCAATGGAACCTTTGTGGACTCTTAAGAACATAATTGTTTTCATTAATTCTAAATAATCTTCAAGAAATTTGACACCCCCCTTCCCACTCCTTTTTGGGGACTTTTTCCTCAGTTATTTTTCTTGTAGTGTATTTTTATTAGAAAACACTTTGCACAAAAAAAGAATCATATTTCTCACTTTATTGTGCCTTTTGCATGTTGGAAAGAATAATGAGCATCAATGCTATTCATGCTTAAAATACTTCTGAGAACTCAAATAAATCATATGGGAAGAGTAACAGCTTTACATTTCTAAATGTGGTCTATATCAGTTGATTCATTTCCAAAAATAAATCGTGTATACATGTGCAGTAATGACTTTCTGCACTTTGTCAAAAGAGTTTATTCTTCTTAAATAAGTAATGCAGAGTAGAGTTTATTTTAATTTTATAAAGTGACTGTTTAAAAGATAGTCAAAATAGAAGCATAAATGAATAATCATAAGCCCAAAATTAAATCTTGACCATGTGTACTGTCATTCAGATTCTGTAATTGACCATTGGTTTACCTGAATGGTCATCCTCTAGGCGCTGCAGGAGTGTCCAAGCATGGGTTAACTTCAACTTGCTGCCCAAGGACTGAGTTCAAAGTTTGTGTAGCCACGCCTCCTACTCCCTTTAGAGGCTCAGTTTAAAAAACGAAGGTATGAGACCCAGAAGGATGCTGTATGGAGAAAAGTCTATGCCATGGAGGTGATAAGTCACGCAACAGCAGGTGACCCCAGGGCGGGGTTGGACACTCCCGCAGTGCCTAGAGAACGACCATTCAGGTAAGCCAACAGTCATTCTCCTAGGCGCTGCTTGGGACATACCCAAGCTATGTAGTCCCATGGTGGGAAGAAGGAATGTCCTGTTAGTAGGACCCGCGAGGATCTGCTGTAAGACTCTCCTTCCAAATGAAGCCTCTGCAGAGGCAAAGGAGTCCAGTCTGTAATTCTAAATGAACAGTGACAGCGAGGACCAGGTAGCCACCCTCTTCAATAGGCGCTTGAGTGGCCCAAGTGGCCATAGTCGCAGCGCTTCTCATGTAGTGTGCTGTTATACGAAGAGGAACAGGTCTGGATAGTTGCTCGTAAGCCAGCTTAATGCAAGCACACAGCCAACATCCTATGGTGGAAGATGATACCTTCCTACCCAGGAGGTGGGCTGGAATGATAGAAAGAACGATTCTGACTTGCGAAAAGCTTTCCTCTTTTTGTATACCCGCACAGCGTGGCACACATCCAATTTGTGCCAGACGCGCTCCCTGGGATGACTGGGGTGCGGGCAGAAGTTGGGGAGGATAACTTCTTGCGTTCTGTGGAATAAGCTATTAATTTTTGGTAGAAATGCTGGATCTTCCGCCTTGAGTCCCTCCAGCAGATCGGCTGGAAGGACCGAGTTTGAGGTTAGTGCCACTATGGGGTCATCTACTTGAGGAAGCTTCAGGAGATCCTCCATGCCACTCTCCATAGAGTAGAGCTTTTTATCCACCCCACTGGGATTAGTCATCGACCCAGGCTGGGCCCATTGTCGCTGGATGACATCCAGGAACAGTTGCGGTGCCAGGACCAGCTCCTGAGGGGGGTCTCCT